GGTGAGAACTGGCGACCAGACGGCATTTAAGGCTCAAGGGAACCACAGAAAGCGAAGAGTAAGATCCTGAGCTACCAGACGCTGTTGTGATGGGGGGGTGTGTGTTACAGCGGGGTGGCTGGAGGAGCCCCTGCTACCCAGGACACGTCAGGAGAAAACCGCCTCTGGGGGACAGTTATGCCAGCACTCCCCATCAGGGCTGGTCCAGCTGTGTGCCAGATGTGGAAGAGGGAGGAAGGGAGAGGGCGCACAGCCAGAGGAGCGTCTCACAATGCCCGCACCCCCGTCGGCAGCCGAGCTGATAGCAAGCAGCTCTCAGCATGGGACTCAGCACCATCCTGAACACCTGTGGGACACTCTCCCTGCTCCCTCCCCATTAGGAAACGCCAGCGGCACCGGCCCGGGAGCACATCCACCACCGCAGCGCTGCTCGGGGCTGGCGCTGCTCCCAAAGGCTTCCCTGCTTTCATTACCCTTCCTCCTTCCCTGGCTGGCTGCCTGTTTATTCTCCTTACCGGTTTTATTGTTAAAAGCCTTTTTAAAAGCCCTGTGCAAAGCTAAGCAAGTGATATCTGCTGTTTTTATTAACAGAGGGGAAAAAAAATGCCTTGGCAGAATGCAGAAGCCAGACATTTCCAGCGAGACGGCTTTAAGGGAGCTGGGAAAGAGCATCTTTGCAAGCCGTGTCACCCCTTTTTAAGCCATGTCACCCCTTTTTAAGCCATGTCACCTCTTTTTAAGCCATGTCTCCCCTTTTTCCACAGCACCTGGGATTCTTGGCTGGATGCTCATCCTGCCTGTCATCTCCAAGCCTGATTAATCAGGGGCATTTCCAGATGTTCGGGCCAAGGCTGCAGCTCTGGGTCTCGGCTTTCTTGGCAGCAGCACCTAAGCCTGTCCTGGTCCCTTTAGGAGAGACTGAATGCAGGCAAGAGCACACAGGACCCATCCACAGCTCTCCATGCCCACCACCACCACTGGAGTCCCCTTCCCTTCCCTCCTGTGGGTGCCTGCAGGAGAGCTGCAGGACAAGCCCCTCCAAGAAGAAACCCTTTGGGGTGCAGGCAGGACACGATGCAGCCGTTCCCAAGAATGTAAAATACAGCCGTAGTGCCGTACATACCCTCTGGAATAGCCAGCAGCTCATCTTGCCCAGGCTCTGGAGAAGCACAGGCTTTGCATAATTCATTAAGCAATGAATAAAAATAATTGCAAAAGAAATAGAATGAAACCAAACAAATGGAAACGACTGGGGCAGCCCAAATTCAGCCTGGTAGCGGGTCCTCATGAATGTTAAGCGGTGGCAGGGAAAGCTGATGTCCTCGTTAGCGCTGTCAAAAAAACCCTTTGGCTTTACATGAACCTAATGTGAATTTTCTGCTTGTCCCCAGCTCTGAGATGAGGCAGGGAGCATCCTCTTCATCCTCACCCCATTTCGCCTCCCCTCACAGAGGTGAGAGATTGGCCAGCTCAGCTTCAAAAGCCTTCCCCCCATGGTGGGTGAGACATCCCCCCATCCAAATCACCCCCCAGACACAAGGTCACCTTTTTACCCCATTTTGAGGGGAAAGCAGGAGGAAACGGGGTCATTTCTGAAGCTTCCGGATCATAAATGATCAGTGCAAGGAGCCACCTGAGCACTGGGAGGGCGCACAGGTAACTGGAGAGTAACGTGAAACAACACCCCGCCTCTCACCCCACCGGTATTAAATTCATTGCAAAATTCAAGGAGAACTAGGAAGCTGAAGAGGGAATAAAACCACTTCTGCAGAGGGACTACTGGAGGGCGGGCAGACCCTCCTGCTCATCCTCAACCGTCCCAAACTCGCAGTGCCCCCAGGCAGACCCCTTGACACTGCTCCAGCCATCAGGGCTCCTCTAGAAGACAGCTCCATTTTGCGCACCACGAGCATTGCAGACCACGTGCACCCGTCACCCCCCTGCAAAAGCTCCCCATGGGATAGCCCCTTGCGGGGGAATAGCTGGGGAATAGTTGAGTGCTGCAGTGATGCAATAATAAAGTTTTATTCAATAAAATTCATCAGCTGGGCTTGTCATCAATGGCACGATGACTTGCCTTGTGTGTACGCTCAAAGGGAAATACCTGCTTTCCTGGATAGCCTCATCAGCTATCGCTCCAGGCAGCCCAAGACACGTTCCCTAGCTCATGGCAGGTTTCTCGTCCGTGACCTGAAGCATCAGGGGGTCCTTCAGCAGCATGAGATAATGAGAGAGGAAGCAGGACTGCACCTCTGCCGTCTTTTGCTGTGGCTTGTGCTCTGCCCTACCTGATAAGGAGGATGCATCTACGCGTGCGCCCAGCCTGTTCCTCCTAAAGGCAGCTATCTCTAGCTGTGCACAAGCAGGGACCTGCATTCAGCCCCCCAGTGTGTGGCAGGGCTACCCCACCAGTACTACCGCTCTTACAGAGCTCTCAGCAATTTACAGAGAAGGGCAAGCAGCAGCCTCCCCATTTCCAGCCGTGCAGGAGGCCTGGCCCACTCGGGCTAATCTTGCAAGATGTGGCTGAATTCCCAGCAAGCCCCCAGCAGAGCTGGAAAGGTGAGCCCAGAAAGGTAGGCTTGCCTACATGTTTTCTGCATCGTGCCATCAGAACTCATCAAACTATTATGTTTTGGGCCAGCTGGGATAGTATCGGGTCACGGGTGCTACAGCAGGAGCTGTGTCTGACCTGGCATTAGCACACGTTTAGGCAACTGAATGCCTCCTGGAGTGGCTACGCACATCTCGGCTCAGGGGTTAGATGCTGCGGAGACCTTGCATGACCCCAAGGATAAAAGCCTGACTGATGGGGCAGTCGTTCAGGGCATAAGCACTCTCCTGCTGGCACAGGAAAGACTTAGGAATGTGCTTAACTTAAAAACCACCGGGATTACTCATGTTTGGCAGGTCCCAAGCCCGGGAGCAACCAGCATTTGCACAGACGTTGACTCTGCCAGGGCTCCATGCTGACCTTGGTCCCCAGTGCAAAGTAACTTCTGATTCGTGCTGGAGTTTCCTCCGGCTGGAGCCAAGCTGTTGCTGAGAAAAATCAGAGTATTTCCAGTGTGGGTGAGCAGGGAGCTGGGTACAGCCTAGCTGCTGCCGACGCATCGCCTACCACCCAGCGTAAGGAGGCGAGAAGAGCCCAAAGCTTGGTCCGGGCATGCAAGGCTGCTCCGAATCAACTTGCCTCACTCTGCTGCAATTCACTGTGGAGATACTGCCAGGCTGATTTTAACCAGGTTTACATGAGGCTCTCACAGCAGGAACTGTAATAAACATGATCTAAACAGAGAGATGGGGACAGCCTGAGGCTCATCCCCACAGATGCAGTAAGAGGCACTAGGAGAAAATGCGATGCACACTAATATACACCTGTGGCTCAAGGCTTTCTTATACCTGCTGTCTTTTAAGCTCTACAGCCCTCGTCCTCCTGACATGCACCAGTTCCCGTCCTTTCCTGCACGCTGCCTGGGACCGCAGGGGGCTCAGAGCGTGGCTGGGATGCTCAGAGCGTGGCTGGGATGCTCAGAGCGTGGCTGGGATGCTCCAAGATCACTGCGCAGCACCAAGCACTCGGAGCAGCCGGTACCTGGCACCCCACCAAGCCTGAGACAGCGAGTGGAGCCTCCAGCCCTCCAGCCCCGGCAGGGAAGGATCTCCTCCTTCAAATCACAAAGAGTTTTGAGACACAGGCAGCTCCACCAGTGCACACCTCCGTGGTTGTTATTCAAATCAGTTATTACACTAACAAATTGCTGTGTGCAGATCTATAGAAATCTGCATCCCGTTAACACCAGCAGCTTCCCCCCGGCTGCCTCGGCTTTGTTGGAGCGTGGTTGGAGCCACATCTCCAGCCGCCTTCTCTCTGTGCCTCACCGACCCCGTGCAACACTGCGGGTACTGGTGGCAGATCCCGCCCTGCCCGAGCCGTGGGCTGCCCCTGCCCCTTAAGCCTCCCTGGCAGTTTAGGGGAGCCTGAGATTAAGCTCTTCCCCTAAAACCTGGAGCAAGGACTAACCCGTGCCAGGGACACAGAGGGGCAGAGAGGAGCCGGGTGTGCTTCTGGCTGCGTAAGCTGGGAACACCACGGGATTTATCACCCCACAAAAACATCCCATGCCTGGAACCAGGATGAAACCTTATTTCCTAAAGGTGAAAAAGCTTTAGAAAGCGATAAACAATTTAAAGATCTTAATATTCCTCATAGCCTCTTGTATTCTCCAGCCCGTGGGAACAGGTTATCTTCTATGAGAAACACAAAGCAATCAGAGGAAACATCCATTCTCTTTTGAAAGCATATTTCCATTTTGAATGTGACTTCTTAGCAGCACCTCTATTTCCTGCTTGTGTGGGTGACCTTGTTTCAATCATCTCAGAACATTTTCTTGGTAACTGCTTAAGAAAAGGCTGTATTTTAAAACCACACGGAACCTGGGTTTCAGTTCCTTCTCTCTCCCTTTTCAAGCCCAAAGCCAAGTGCTGAAGGCCGATACATCCTCCAGTCGGCACCCAAAGCAGATCAATTGGCTTGTTACCCGGCGTGAGTCGAGGGATGCAGACGGGGTGAGGGGGGCTGGCTGAGCATCAACAACTGAGGCACCAGGGATTTGAAACAAGGAGGAGTTTTTCCCCCTGAGGCAAGGAAAAGGAGAGCCAAGAGCCCAGCGGGATTTGCCCAGTGGAGACGAACAATTTTTCCTGGAACTTCAGTGCAAACAATATGGATTTTTAAATTTTTTTTTTTTTTAATTAATCACCCCACGGGGAAATGCTGTAGGGCTCTTCCCACGTCACGGGGCACCCCGTGTCCTCATCCCCAGCCAGACCACAGCCAAGAGACCCATTTGGTACCTGTCAGGAGAAACCCTGGAGCAGACGACAAAGATGCCAGCACACTTAAATTGGGGAACGGGGATATTCATCTGGACAGGGAGTCACGGCAAAGCAAAGCAGGTGGGTGAGACAGACCAGGAGGAAAACGCGTCTTCTCTTACCTCATCAAACCTGGCCTCGTCCTCGCAGTTTTCAAGCACTCGGGTGTAGAAGGAGAGCCCTGGAGAGGGGAGAGGAAAAACAGGTTGGTTGCAGCGAGGCGAGGGGCAGCCAGGGTGGGAGACACGGGTCGGGGGCTGCACAGCACCGGCGGCAGCGAGACCCCGGGGTCAGGGTCCGCAGGGGTGGCCTGGATGGAGCACAGCCCGCCGGCACTGCCTGGGATGGGGAAGTGCGTCCGCGAAGGTGTGAGAGCACTGCAGGCACGTGTGCATGTGTGCAAAGGGAGTGCAGGGGGGGGGACAGCCCACGCAAGAAGGTGAATCCAGCTTCAGCTCCCCCGCACCGGCACTAAACACCACATTAACCTGCTCTAAGAGCTAATTAAGAAGGTTTTTCTGGAGTGCGCTTAGTCGGTGTGTTCGAGTCTTGTCCCATCTATTGCAGAGCAGAGGAAACAGAGCATGGGGACAGCGATCGCGGCAGTTTCTGCAGTGGCTTTTACATTGGTTGAACAGGGGCTCCTCAAGCTTCGGGGTATTGGGATGCAGGACTGCACACCCCAGCAGTGCGCTCAAAGCCCAGGGACGAGATCTAGGACCAGCTGCCCCAAGAAAACCACCCCAGCTCCTGCACGGAGCAGAGGATCTGCACGCTTGAGTCCAACCGCACGGATGCAGCCACGCGTGCCCACAACACAGAGGGATGGCAGCATC